AGATGATTTCGAGATATGTCAGGTCTACAGCAGAGTTATGGTATGAAACAGAATGATGTGCATGGGCTACAGAAGTTACTTCAGTTTGAGATTGATTCAAGATGTACAGTGTTCACAGAATTCAAGCTGATATGACTTTTTTTTCTTTAATAATTTGGGTTTTTACGTTTAGTCAGCCTTCTCTTTTGGGTATCTGGACATGGGAAGAGAACAAAATTAAAAGTATGCAACAAATCTGAGGCTGCATTGTGGTAACATAAACATGTTATTTACTTTCAGAAGGTTGTGGACTCAATGTGCTCGTCACAAAGTCGATCTGCTCTCTTCAATAGGCATTTGAATTTGTAATTCTAATATGGATATCTAGACCAGCTGAAACCCAAGGCACACCTCAAATCTTCTTTCTTACACCTCTTGCTCCGTGGACTTTGGAAAATTTACATTGCCAACAAACATGCTAAGAGTGCATAGACTGTCCTGGCCTGGCAGGTCCTATATCCAGGTTAGGTTACAATAGAATATTGTAGAAATTTATGCTCTCCTAGAGGGAAGTTTCCAACTGTCTTTTAACATATTTACAACAATCTAAAGGTGCAAATGGTTAATTTCTCATTCTCGAATTAAATTGGTAATTTGTGAGGCAGCTATTACTAGTATAGTTTTGTTATCTGAGTTGATTAAACGTTTCCTACCTGGCAATTATTTTATGAATTCGTGTTAATCAGGTATTAATAGAAGCAGTTGAGAATCACATGCCTCAAGTGATTGTGATCGATGAAATTAGTACTAAACTGGAAGCAGTGGCTGCAAGCACAATTGCACAAAGGGGAATTCAGTTGGTTGCCACTGCACATGGAGCAACAATAGAAAATTTGATAATGAATCCATCATTAGAGATCCTTGTTGGGGGAATACAGGTGGAATATTCTTATCAATGAAGATCTTTATCAGCATATTAATATATATTTCACAAGAGCATCACACCATTCCATTTGTCGGGGACTTTGTTATGGCATCAGTGGATACTGCAGTCTATTTTACTTTTAGTGATGTGAGAGCAAACACATAATCTAGGATTGACTGGATAAATAATTGCATGTTCCCTACCATATCAAACTGCCCTCTGGAATGATGTTTTAGGTACTGTGGACACAAATACTACTGAGGAACTCTTTAAATTGAAAAAATATTTCTTTTAGTTTGATTTCTTGTCTGGAAAGGTAAAGCAACTACTTAAAAGAATAGATTATCGCAATACTGAAATAATTTCATATGTATCCCTTTTTCTTTCCTTTTTTTGAGATCAGTGTATCCTTTTAAGTTTTTCAGTATAGCATGCTAATGAGTAAAATGTCAGACAGCTTTCATTTTGTTTCTTTGTTTTTTTTCTGGAATTTGATAATTTCTTTGTGGGGTCCGTGATCATCGAACTTGGTAAGCATAACGACCTCATTCCTTAGTAATAAGGTTACAAAAGACAATGAGGATGTTGGTTGAAGTACATGAGTATTCTGGTAAGTTGAATTAATAGAAATTTCTCAGAGTGTCACTCTAGGGGATGAAGAAGCAAATCGGAGGGGTGTTCAAAAGTCAGTGCTTGAGAGGAAAGGACCTCCAACATTTAGTTGTGCAGTAGAGATCATTTCGAAGACTGAATTGCGAGTTCATCATTGCCTTGAAGCAACAGTTGATGCTGTTCTTTTAGGTATCTTTCTCTTCATCTAGTATAGAATAAAGGGATTCCAAGCTAATTCATCTTTCGTCACCATTCTGAAAAGTTAACAATTGTGGTTAGGTGGTGAAGTGGTCCTCATTATGTTGTTTGTTTTCACTTCATGTTGGCCAAGGTCTTTTCCCAAATGTTGAAATTCTCAAGATAAGCTCTCAAGGAGTAGAGAAGACTACAAAAGGGGAAGCTTTAACTGTCATTACCTCTGATAAGTCAGACGAGACATTGGTTGGAGATGTTCCTGAGTTGGACAAAGAAAGCACTGTCCAGGATGGGTTCCCCTCTAAATTTCCTTCAACCATGGAAGTCGACTTGGTAGATAGAATGCAACTTCTTTTATATACCTATGGGGTAAGACAACATCATTTTGCATTTTTTGAATTATTCCCAACTTTTATTACACCTTTTACCATTACTATTCTTATAGATTCAAATTCCATTCGTATTTGGGATGATGACAACAGAATTCTAACTCTTATACCTTAAAGTGTATGTAGTGTATTAGGAGGTCCAGTCACATAACTGATTTCTTGAATTATGGCCTCAGTTGAATTATTTTACCTTAATGTGAAAGTGATTCTTTGGTCCAAGAAAAAAGAGGAAAAGAAGTAAGAAAAGCATATAATATCACCATCTATTCTTATTTAACTCTGGCATGGATGCTTGAATATGAATAGGTGACTTGTGTTTCAATGTGCCAAGTGGTATTAGTTTTTCAAGAAAAAGATTTATGGAGTTTTCATGATCATTATATTCGCAAAGAGAACATTCACGAACTAATAGTTATATTATTTAGGAAATTAAAGATGCATTCACCACTCCTGTTTCATCCATACAAATTTAGCTGGACATTCTTGATCATTCCTCCCCACTAGACATGTACTATATTTTTCCCTCATACTGAGGATTAAGAAACGTGATAGTTTTCCGTAAATGTAGTAAGTTTTTCCTCATAAGCAACAATTTAAAGAGCTAGTTTTACACTACACACGTCTTCTGAAAACAATTCAGTACTAATGAAATGAAATTCCTCATCCTTTTAAGTGCTTTGCTTTGGAGTTTATAATCAAGCTTTCCTGTGGATTTTTATGATATTGTAATACCTTTTTGTTTAACAAAAATTGAACAGCCATTCGATATCTCACTTTGGTTAGGTTGATATTCATGTTTGTTTTTCTCTTTTTTGAAAATGACATGATATTATTAATAATTTTTTTAAGTATTTGATCAGCACATTTGAACATGTAATAAGCGACTAATTATGTGCAAATGCATACCTATGAATTGGTGGTTGATACAGGAGTAAAAAAATGTCAGTCCCACATCTAAATTATCTTAAATATCGCCCAAGTATATGATTAATTAAGATGCAAACATGACTCATATCCTAGATGTTAAACATTACAAACCTCAGAATTTCTGATCAATCCATACTACCCGTGAACTTTGCTTAAAACTTCCCTCTGAAACAATTCTAAGATAGGTGAACAAAAATTATATGATGTAGTCAGATGTTCTTTGCGTGACATCTGTTGATAAATATAGGAGAGACTTCCTCTTTTGACATTGTAAAACATTTTATCAACAAAAGAATCCACTTGTCAGGGAATCATCTTCTTGATTTCTTATCCTTTTCAAATATTTGTATCATAAACTTACATTTTGTTAGCACTTTTGGTGATAGTGCATGGTTAAAAACTACTAGATTCAGGACTTACAAGCAGGGTTTCTATCTAGATTACAGAGACAACTGTTATTCAGGGGATCAAGCAGTTGGAGATGGACGCTGCTGTTAAATTAATCGATAACATCAGTGAGGCAGATGCTTTACTTGCTTTGCATTCCAAGCTCAAGAAGAATCCCCGTATTCAAGCAGCTGCTAAATCTCATGGTATACCCATCTATGTGACAAAGGTAAACAGAAGAATTTACATTCCCCTGCAGGGTTTTTGACATACATCTGCTATACTATTCAAACTATCTTTCTTGTAGACAAGCTCGATCGTGCAGGTGACAAAGGCAATACGAACATTAGTGGATGACCGTGAAGACAAGCGGAAGGATTTCGTGTCAGAAGATAAAGTAAATTTTTCAGAGAAGATGGATGCCCTGGAGGTGAAGATCTATATCTTGATTCTCCATCCAAGCGGTTCTTTCTTGGACAAACCAATTCAATAGGGTTTGTTTATTTATTTTTTTATAGAAGAAGAAAATATCATTAGAAGGGTGGAAAGTATATACAAACTAAAGGAGGATAAGCTATCCTCCAAAGAAGAAACAAAGTTACAAAAGAAACAAAGTAAAAGAACTACTTATACCAATTACATGGGAGGAAGAAGATAATGAAGAATTTGAGGGATAAAAAGGATAGAGAATAAATGGAGAAGAAAAGTGGAAAGTTGGAGAGAAATATAGAAGTAAAGGACAGAGAAGGAGAGACTGTGAAGAGAAAAGAAGAGTAATAAGGAGAGAAATCTCTGTGTCTGCAATTATTCTTCCAAATCCAACTGTATTCCAAAGATAAGAATCAGGAACGGGGTGTAGGCCACAATATTAACTAAGAAGAAAATAAATTTTGATCACTTCTAAAAACTAAAGTCAACGTGCTAGATTGATCTAATTCCTAAAACCAAATCCCTAATGGTAAATCCTAAATGTCATTCATCCTTCAAGGTTCTTCTATTGACATCTGCTAACTTGCTTCGTTGCTTTTGTCAATGCACTGTTGGAACTTGAAATTTGTTTTTTTGCAAAGTTCTTGGATCTTGTCCATCAGCGAAGGCTTGCACATCTTTTCTATTTTAATGAAGGCACTATCTGTATTTAGAGCAACATGGGATGCCATAAATCAGAATATGGTTTCCCGTTCATACAAATATGTTACATACTTCAATCCACTTGCATGGCATTTGACTCCCGTGCAATTTTTTTACATTTTACAGGAGGCAAGAGTAGCCATTGAGCAGGTCGTAATCCCAAAAGGGGAACCTGTGGAGCTACTTCCCAGACCATCCCCCATTATAACTCTTCAAGTGGACCTTATTCAAAAATATCAATTACGATCAGAGACAGTCGGTCAAGAGCCAGAAGACCGTCTGCGCATCCTTCCTTTCCAGGCTGGGATTGATGACTAGTATGATGCTAGGGAAAAAGTTAATGCAGATAGAATTGATTATTTCTTGAGCACCAACAACTCCAATGGTACATTTTGCACAGTGGACCAGTTACCTCTACTGCCTGACTAATTTTTTGTAATATTGTATATCATGCATTCCTTGAACTTAGACTTACGTTCTTGTATTAATTAATGAAATAAATCTTTCATGGAGATTTAGTGTTCTACTGGTTTATTTGCTTATTTATCTTAATCAACTTCCCTAACCTACTAAATAACTCTATAAAACTACTTCTAGCAGTCTGTAGCAGCTAAATGCAATGA